TGGTTTGCCGAGCGAGGCGCTGTTGTGGGGGCGTGAGGGTCTCGGCGGAAAGCGAGCGGCGCCGCGTCTGCCGCCGAGCGGCCCGGCGCTTTGGGGCGGAGGAGACGGCTCTCCGGTGCCGGCACGTCCGAGGTGAAACGCTGCCCCTGTCCTTTTGGGGGCGTCGATACCGTCAACCCCCCAGCCTCGGTACGGCCAAGCGCCTCGAGTGTGTTGAATCACATCCGTACGTTAATTAGTTCGCACGCAGTTAATTGCACAGGATGCAAGGGTATGCCTGCGTGAACAAGTTAGCTGGGGGTAAGGTAGTAAAGGGCTGATCGCATGCAAACAAAGCAGCAAACAAAACGTAGTACTTAACGGTGGGGGAACCTACCTTCTGTGTGTTTTTTTTTCTTTTCTTTTTTTTTTTTTCTTTTACTGGAAACGAGTGTGTGCAAGGTTCGTTCAGGAAAATAAAACTTGGTAGGCCGGTAAGTTGCTTGCCTCTTGCCTGTTGATGGCTTTTGATAGCCACATCCCAATTAACTCATTTTCTGGAGTTATGAACGTTTAAAAAATGGCATACTGCCTTCTGTTTGTAACTTTCTGAAGTGGCATCTGACTCTTAAAGGAACAGCATGTTCTGCTGCACCTATTTCTATGTGGTGGGTGTAAGCCAATGAGCTCCCGTATAGGAGAACAAAAACAAATGTGAAAAACATAGTGCAGAGTAACATGTGCATTGATCTTTGTTCTTAAAAACTTTTCTTCCCAGCTTAACTCTTGCCTAGAGTTTTATCTTATGTTTCCCAGTTCTATGTGGTATTACGTTATACTTTTTTGTTCTTCCCATTCAGGAATTTGTCTGATTGGGTGTGTTGTTGTTGTTGTTTTGTTTTTTCTTCGAGGTCTTAGGAATATTGCAGGTCAATTTTATTGCCTTTTATACTTTTTCACCTACTTTTGTTTTGTATGTTTTTCTTTAATGCCTCTTGGTCAAGAGCAAAATGGTACAGTTCTCTTGATGGCACACATTAGCATTTTTACTGTGGGCTACAAGAACTAAGTTGTTGACAGTTTTGGGTACAAAAGCTGCCAAACCTCTCTCCAGAGGATAGTTTATCACTTTAGGAGTTTATCACTTCAGGCTACATACAAGCTGTCCTTAAAAATTTTTTGATTTGGTAGTCAAGCTGTGGGTAGTCCTCTTTAACTTAATACGAAGAGTAATGTGGCGGTGTTTCCCAGAGACTTGCTCTATCGTTTTACCATAAGCTGTTTCACGAATGTTTCCTTGGGGGGGGGGGGGGGGGGGGTAGTGAGGAAGGGATTTGAAAATGCTATAGAGCCCAAACTGAAATCTCTCGAAATTTGTGAAAGATCTAGCAAATTCTTCTTAAAAGATCACTGCTATCTATTTTTATAAAAGCATAACATGCTTTGCTTCTGGCTATATTCTTACGTTGGACCAGTATCAGTTAAGACTTTCAAATACTTTACACCACGTTCTTCGTTCCAAAACACTTCTGTTTTGATTAATAGATGACGAAATGATCTAGAAATCACTGTTCGCAACCTGAGGCAGCTGGCAGCATAATCCAAACCAGCCTTAATAATGTCTTTTGCACATTGTTTTTGCGTGTGGAACTGTTGTCCTAATTTTGGAGCACACCTCAAGTGTAGTATATAGTTTTTCAATACTGTTCTTACGAGTCTAGATTACTTAGAATTGGAAGCAATCTCACGTTGGAAATCTGGTCACTTCTAATTAGATACTTAAAATGCAAAAGTATTAAGTAAGTGTTAATGACTTGGAAAAAAAAAAGTAGAGAAGTTTGGTCTAATTTTATTTAGTGATTAATTGTGAGCTTTGTAGCTTAACTTTTCTTATTCAGTTTTGGAAGTTTTTGTCATGATTTTCAGTGGTGTACTGCAAAGCTAGAGTTTTTCTTGATTTTTATAATTTGAGAGTAACTTTATTCTTTGTATTTGTGTTTAATTTCAGAATTATGAACAATAGCACAGAGTTGGTCTTTCTGTTCATAGAAATTTCATTTGACTTTTTGTATCTCCACTGTACACATGGAGTGGGAGTAATTGTATGTGATATTTCTCAACTCTAGTGAAGACATTCAGTGTAGTTTCAGCCTGTGTATTGGCTAAGTGGTCATTACAGAACACCAGCCATGACATATTATGAGGTGATTAAACAAGGTCAGCAGTTTGTCATCTTCTTTTTGGTGTATTCAGAACAGTTGCCTGCTGTTTTCTTATAGGAGTAAGTCGTCTGGTGCACGGCAAAATTCTGGGGATTCTTTTGGAAGACACTAATAATTGCTTCACAAACTGGAACTGTCCCTTGACAGCTTGACTGTAAAAGGATAGGTATAGCTTGCAGAATATGAATATAAGAGTTGCTTAAGTCTTGAAGACAATTTTTTGGAGTGGTTGTGACAGTAGTCAACAAACTCTTAATTTCAGTGATATTGCTTCTTGAGTTTAATGACTACTTCATGAGCATGCTTCTGTATTGGCTGTGCCTAGTAATTGCTGATGCAGATAGTGCAGTATAGCACATGTGTAAGTACCAGTGAATGAAACTGAAACTCCGCAGTTAAAGAAAAAAGCAAAAATCCGTTATTGTGAGCCAGATAATGCTTTGTGTAAATTATTGTCGAAATGCCTTGAAAGTTATGTTACATACTTTCTTATTGCTGGGCACAAGGAATGTAAAGTGTATGTTAAAATGGAATACGCCTGTGATATTTCACTATAAGGCTATTTACTAATTGCTTTCATTCTTGTCAAATAGAATTATAAATGGCATCTCACATACTTTTAGTGCTACAAGTTAGACTATAAAGTCCTCTAGAAAACAGAGCCAAAGCATGTATCTTCTTACCTGCAGGTGATGTGTAAAAACCACTGAATGCTAGCAGGACCTACTTGTTGTGCAGAAGTATCTCAGATAGCCAAAACTGTGCTGCTTATTTGTGGAGTAGACATCACTTTCAAAATAGTTGGGAGCTGCTGTGAATCTACCTCATGTAGAAGTAGATTGCCTTGAAATGGAAGCATACAATTTGAGTCATTTCTGTGGTTATTAGTGTGCTTGGAGTGGCTTGTTTAATCTGATTGGAGATGATAATATTATAGATTGCTAAAAATGCAACAATGTTAATACTGGTAAATGTTAAATTGCTTGCTCTGATGTTTGATTTTGTGTGTGTAGAGGTAAATAATAAAATGTTTTTTCTCTCTCTCTCTAATCAGATCACCCAGAAGGCACAATGAGTGTTAAAGCTTTCAAGCTCGTTTCCGCTGTTGAGCGGGAGATGTTAATGGGGGACAAAGCTCACATCAACATCGAATGCATTGAGTGTTGTGGAAAGAACCTGTATATTGGAACCAATGACTGCTTTATCTATCACTTTCTGTTGGATGAAAAGATATCAACAGCTGGAAAAATAACTTTTGCTGCCACCAAGCAACTGCATAAATACCTGGGCTTCAAGAAGTCTGTGAGTGAGCTAAAAGCAGCTTCTGCACTCACCAGGCTTCTTGTGCTTTGTGACAACACAATAACACTAGTTAATATGATGAATTTGGAACCTGTTCCCACTGGTGCTAGAATCAAAGGAGCTGTGACATTCACGTTAAATGAAAACCCTGTGAGTGGAGACCCTTTCTGTGTTGAAGTCTGCATTATCTCAGTCAAGCGTCGGACCATTCAAATGTTCATGGTGTTTGAAGACAGAGTCCAGATAGTGAAGGAAGTGTTTACTCCAGAGCAACCCTACGCTGTGGCTGTAGATGGTCATTACCTATGTCTTGCACTTACTACACAATATATCATATTGAACTATAATACTGGCATCTCCCAGGATCTATTTCCCTATTGCAGTGATGAGAAACGGCCAATTGTGAAAAGGATAGGCAGACAGGAGTTTCTGTTGGCTGGTCCTGGAGGGCTAGGTGAGACTAAGGTTATTTTTTGCAACTTTTAAACTTCTCTCTTGTATTTTATTTCAATTTGGGAAGCAGAGAATAAGTAACTATTACTGATGTACAGAATAATGCTACTTTTCCTTACCGAGTGGTGCTGGAATATTGAGATCAAAAGGTAAATTTTTGGTACTACATATTATTATCCCTCCTGCCTTTTATGCAAGTGCACAAAAATATGCTTGAATATTTGTATTTTAATCGTGACTCTGGAGTAGTTTTCTCCTGTACAGGTCGCTAACAGGTTAGGTACTGTTTTCCTGCAGCCCAGAGTAAATATAACGTGCTTGGTACAGAGTGAAATGTCAAAGGCTGACAGCCTATCTGTAGTGACTAGCTGAACTGGGTTTGAGGACCGCATGCTGCTATAATCTGTTGGATCAGTGTAGGCAAGTTAATTTCTGACTAAGTTCCTACTAGGAGGAGTTCATGTGAACTCCCTTTGTAGAATGTAATAGGTCCACAAATAGGTATGTTGCACTACAGCACTAATAGGAAACGCTATTTGAAATGAACTCTAACCTAACTCCTGTAAAATTAAACCCTGCCCTAACTGTAGGTATTGTCAGATACTAGCCACTTTTCTACTCTCACTTGCTCAATTTTTTTAGAAGTATTTTTCAGGTCCGTGTTGCAGGGAATAATGGTTTTAGTATTTCTTACTATTAATTGTAAAAACACAGCAAGATCACATGAAATCACT